CCCCAACTTTTACCTTCAGCAGTGGCTTAAATTCTGACTGTAGTCATCAAATTCAAGTAGCTATCGTCTGTGGGTTAACTTCCATTCAAAAGAAAGAAAATAACAATAGCATCTGCAGTACCTCTAAGGGTGGAAGAAGAGTAACTTAGCTGATGGCTGAGTTTGGGATAAGTAAATGGCGAAGGTAGATCTCCTCGTTCCTCTCCATTCTTTCAAGAGCCATCCTGCGTGCAAAGAAGAGAGACTCTCAGTCTTCTTGCTCCTCAATGGAAGTCGAAACTTCAATGTAAAGGCTATTAGTGATACGGCAAGATTAGCTCAATCCCCAACTGCCAACTCTTTCATCTTATGTCTTGATTGGTTCAGAACCCCAGGCAGAATGGAGATGCTTTTAGGTTCATCAAACACACGCAACAATATACTTGAATGGGGAATTTCCCAGCCTAGGATGCCTATTAGAGGAACCCAGGGATGGGACAGAAATGGTTCCTTTCTAGTAACCTTGCTCTGTCTACTCAGTTGTGTGGTGGAAGAAACCCAGCAAAGCGTGGCCTCAGTGTAAATGCCACAGTAGATCCAAAGGCATGACAGCTAGAGTTTGTCAGTCGACAATATTCCCACGGTAGATTCTCTTCCTCCCTCTTTATTTCATCTGATGTTACAATTCCAAGATACAGGTGTGTGTGTGTGTGTGTGTGTGTGTGTGTGTGTAACTTAATGGAGCTTAATGGAGGTGGATGAGTGTATACATGTTTCTACATAGAGATATATGTAGTTATACATGTGAAATTATACATATACAATATACCTTAAATAAGCTTTAGATGCACTTAGTATTTTCACAAGTAAGTTTAGAGATAGATTAGGCTATATAAAGTTATGCTGCATATAGAGAAAATCCCCAAAGTTGTGGACAAATTGAGAGAAAGAGAAAGAGGTAATCCAACTCTTAAAATGACCATGTGCAAAATTTCATAGAATTTATGAGGAATATAAGAGATAACAGAGGCAATTATGCCTTGTAAACTGATAACTCCAAACACATTAACCATTATTATTACACATTTACCACTACACTAAATGCCACCCTCTCTCCAGGTGTTTCTATTCCGATACCCAAGTGTATTTAGCCCTAGCCAGTTACAAACTAAAAGAACTAAGCTTAATATAATGATTAAAATAAATATAAGCAAGCGCCACAGGCCCAAGTTTATATAATAGTAGATCCAGCCATCTCAAAAACTATCAGCCCTACAAATTGGACCCTTGTTATAGAAATAAACCTAAACTTTCATAGAAGTAGAATAGAAACAAAGAAAATAAAAAATTAATGAAACCAGGTGGGCTTGCAACAATCCCAATCCCAATTTAAAACACAGCCTCTCAATTAAATAAGGTCTTTATAATTCTACAGAAAATTGTGAATTCTCCTTATTTCCTCATTTTGACCTTCAGCCATTTCTTTGCTTTTCAGCTCTTCTGAGATTCTGCTTACAGAATTCTGAAACATTTCCTAATGTAAGTTACAGTCTTTCATTACACACTTGGCTTTTAAGCGCAGATGATCTGGTAACACACAAACTCACACTAAACGTTATACAACTGATACTAGAGATTCTCCAGGCACCAGCAGAGTTAACAGGAAATGAGGAAATGTGGCTCACGCTGGGGAAGAGGATGGGTTGCGTCTCTGGGGAGGAGGTATTTGTAGGCCTCAGTTCCTAGAGACAAGAAGCAGTGGAATGAGATGGTGAGGCCTGGGTGAAGATAAGATGACGTACGCACTCAAACAAGGTGAAAGCGAGGTCTGGAGAAGATATTTTCAACCCGTTAGGGTTTGGATGCAGTTTGAGTGTATCCCTCACATGTTCATGTGCCAGGAACATGGTCCCCCATGTGGCAATGCTGAGGTACTGGAAACTTTAGGAGGTGGAGCCTACTGGAAATTCACTAGGTCATTCGCCACCCTCATATGCCATTCCACCTTTTTAAACAGGAAATCCTGACAAGCACTATGACATACATAGACCATGGGGCCATCGGGCCAAGAGAAATGAGCCAGTCACAGAAATAAATACATAAACCCACATACTTAAGGTACTTAGGAGAGTCAAATACATAGAGACAGAAAGTAGAATGGAGATTCCCGGGGTCCAGGTGGAAGGAGTTACTGCTAACAGATATGGAATTTCACTTTGCAAGATAGAAAGAGTTCTGAGCACAGACAATGGTGATGACTGAACAGCAATGAGAATGCATTGAAAAATACTGAACTGTACTTAAACATAGTCAAGATGGTAAGTTCTGTTACCTGTATTTCTCCACACCTAAAAATTAAGTATAAACTGAGTGTGCACTCCTATAATCCCAGTATTCTGGAAATCTAAGGCAAGAGGATCACAAATTCAAGCCCCGCTTGGGCAACTTAATGATTTAGCAACAACTTGTCTCAAAACAAAAAAATAAAAAGTGCATGGGATGTAGCTCAGTAGTGAGGCCCTAGGATCAATCTCCATGACTGCAAAATATAAATATAAATAAATCAATATCAAATACATAATTTCTATTTTTTATCAAGCTGAAATAACTTCTTCATTTTGGAAAATAAAAGAGGGAGAAGGGCAGCAAATTTTGCTATACTGTATGTCTTTGCCTAAGTCTTGTCCTATGTTAACCACTAAAGCATTAGAAGAAACTGAATTTTTTAACATTTACATATATATTATTCATACTAGTAATGTCATTATTGTATTAGAAACTAAAATTAATAGCACATTGTATTAAATGTGCATCTAAAATAACAGCAATGTAAACTTTTGCTACTCAAAGTCTTAAAATGTGGCCTGCAGAGAAGCATCAACAGCGTCTGAGAGTGTGTTAGAATTACAGAACCCAGGCCCACCCAGTCGTACGTAATCAGAATCTGCATTCTGTCCAGATTCCAGGAGATTTAACTGTCCATCAAAATTTGAGAAGCATTGTAAAATTTTGAGAACTGCAAACAGAGCAAAAAATAACACTTGCTTGGTTGAAACGGAAAGAAAACGAGGCATTATTGTACTGTTTAAGAAAAAGGTTCATACTTTTCTGTTTTTATGTTCTCAAAAATAGGAAGGCCAAATCTACTTATTGACTTTAACATAGAAAATGCTTACATTGAACCACATGTATGATTTAATGTGTTAATGACTTTTCTTTTATAGTAGCTTTCATGGAAGTAAAATGATTTTTAAAAAGCAAAGAGCTAAGTACAAAGCTCTTATTAAGTGGCTGACAGTAGACTTGGTAGATTTACATTCCAAGGACTCATCATTACAGCAGAACTAATGCATGGCATATTCATAGATTTGCCAGGGAAAACACTCACCCTCATAAACACTCAAGAACAATAAAATTCTGGCCACTAGAAATGCGAGAAAAACCACTAATACCCACAGCCAACTGGATTCACTTAATGTGATTAAAACGCTACAGAGACAGCACAGAATAGAAGCCCCAATATGTTCATTTGAATATAAAAAAGAAAACAAATTGACAATTACAAGTATTCAAAAACACAGAAATGGAATAAGAAAGAGAATGAATTAAGAAGGCCTTCTCATTGGGATTTTTAAGCAACTTTATTCTAACATGTTTCCCCTCAGTACTTCTGAAGCAGTGTGATTCAATCCTAGGTGTATGTTTAACACTTAACACACAGAAAAAAAATAAATTTCTGATAGGAAGACAAAAACTAATGACAGTAAAGCTAACGTACAGGTGACCAGGAGAGAAACGAGTTAGATTTGGTCTCCAACACTAGGGTATACTTGGCTGGGAAACATTTTTCTCCACTTAATGATAATCTTCAATAGTTATTGGAATCTCTGCCTGCTTTTATTTCTTCTTCTGGCAAATTTCCATTTATTCTGGCCTTTGCAATAGTAAAAATAAGTAGATTTGATGCAACAAAACCAAGTATTGTTTTAGAGGAACAAACAAAATTAACCCAACTTTTGGCTTGTTGTTTTTAAAATTGATATTAATTTTAAGGAACAATTTAGAGAACCTGTAGAGGTTTATATGAACTATTCAATAGCAAAATCATTTTTTTTAATTTTTAAGTGTTTTTAAGAATAAGACAGAATACCTTTGACTGCTAATCACTTGGCACATTCCCCATGTTCCCTGGTGTTCTCCAGGGCAGCACTGAAGGTGCGTTATCAGCTCTTTGTTTTCTGTATGGAGACTTGGACATCTTAGAACCTAAGATGGAAAGCAGAATCGGGGCTTCAGCTATGAGATCTTAAGAAATAAGTTTAATACTCCTATAAATATCTCACTCTTGTTTCATCAAGTGTACATAACAATGATGGGGTAACAAGGAATTTAACAGGGGAAAAAAGGTATGAGATACCCAGAAGCCACCCTCGTGTTGAGACAAACATGACCAACTGTCAGCTGAAGCAGTTTGAATGGTAAATGTTTTTATCTCAGAAGAAAGCCTTCCACACCAACACCGATGTGAGTGTGAAAGGCATGATGCTGAGTCTGGTGACTGGGGCTGCATCTAAGTGCCTGCTGATACCAGTCCTTCCCAAACACGGACGCACACAAAAGCCAAAGGGTGTTTGTTATCACCATGAGCTAAACAGATTGCACCCTTCAAGGGAAGTTGCTTTGCGGTCCCCAGCAACCCAAAACCATAGTCTGTTGAGAGGAACTAAAAATCTCCAGATGTTCCTTTCCTACAAAGGAGGCTTGAGACCCTCATATACTTCCTATACACAGAAGGAAACTGTGCCCTGGAAGTGAAAAGAAACCCATTCCAAGAGCCCACATCATCATATAAATGAGATGTAATACTTGATTTTCCTTCACGTTTTTTCAACTTTGCCCAACCATATGAAATTGATTCCATGATAGGCGAACACCATTAATATTCTCTTTAAAAGCTATTTTTTACTTCAGTCTTAAACAGCTAAATTTGTATGTCCTTCCAAATGCAAGACTAGATCTGGGGACAGAGCTCAGAGACAGCATACTTGGCCTAGCAGGCACAGAGAGGGAAAAGAAAGCAAAACTAAAACATCATAAGACTTCTCCTGTAGCCCCCAGTGACCATTAATGGTACTTGAAAATACACAGAAATATAGAAAAACAAAGGGCACATTTAACAGACATTAGGTTTTTCATCTAGCGAAAGACAGCTATTTGCTCAGCAAACATTGGATCTTTTATTTTTTTTAATCTTTTAGAAGACAGTATCAGTTTTATTCCATTTTGAAATGCTGTGTAAGGCATAGAACTCTACAATCTGCACATGAAGCAATTTCCATCTTAAGTTTAAATATATTTCTGTGATAAAAAAGTACATGCATATGAATATGTAGAATTTTTAGAAATCATTATTTACATTAAAATTTTCTTTATACAAACATTTGAACTCTAAAAAAAATAAGTATATGGCAAGAACCATCCGAGATGGAAGAAAATCCACCTTTTCATTCAAGCCGCGTTTCACTGAGAGACATGGGTGATGGCAGTTGAAGGCCTCTTAAGAATAGACTCAACAGAAAATGACAGGGGTTCATTCACTGAGAGTTTTGTTCCAACTTGTTTGGCTACAAAAAGGTCTTTCGCACATCTATCTATTGTAAATGTGTATTTCTGGTTCTCCTTGACCAAACACTCTCTGTGTTTCTTTGGGGTCTCTTCAAAGGCCTCTTTGACAAATGGTGTTTTCAGCTCGGGACCTGATTTGTCATTAAGCGTTTGCTGGAATAACGAGTGCAATGGATTATTTTTAAGTGGCAGAGGGTGCCTAGTGTTTTCTTTGCTGATCTTGGTTAAGATGTGCCCTTGAGCTGCCAGGGAGTCTGTGTCAACAATGGGAGAGAAATTTCGTTGGGGTGGGGAGAAGGCAGACCTCTCAGGGACAGCCTGGTGACCCTGAAAGTCACTTCTTGAGGTCTGGACCTCGGGAGGGTGAGGCAGCAGGGAGCTTTCCAGTTTCGGTGGTATCATGTTGTATTCTGCACTGAGCTCATCCTGGACCCTTGTTCCCTTCAAGTCCCAGCCGGCCACAGGTTTCAGGGCTTGAACTGAGGTGGTGGCATTTAGAAGGCATTGCTGGTAGAGAAGGGTGTCACTGACAGGGCCACACTTGGGCCAAACTAAAAATCTTGAGGACAGAGGATATTGTCGGTAAGTCGTGGCCACACTAACATTAGAAGAAATCAGTTCCATGTTCCCAGATCCTGAGTACTGCATGGTGAGATCAAGACAGGTGGGCAAAAAATTGCAGAAGTCCTTGCTTGGCAGCTCCCCTGGGGTGGGGCTGTAGGCACTTTTGTAGGAGCTGTATTCAGTTCCAGGTACTATGCGATTGGGCAGGAACAAGGCAGCAGCTTGGGAAGTTTCCAGCATCTCTCTCTCTTTATACTCTCTTTCCAGCATAATGTTCTCCAACTCTTTGTCAGCAAAGGCCCTTCTTTTTCTCATCCTGTCACTAACTGGGGGAGGTAGAGGTAGGGTCCCTCCTAGGTAAGTCTCCGCCGTTATAGGGCGATAGCCTAAAATAAGCAAAGATGGCACAGGAAAAAATTAACATCTAGGGAAGAAAAGTCTGGACATTTAAAAAGCAAAAGAAACACCATAAATCAGGACAGCTGATTACAGTTCTATATCATTAGTACTTTTATGCAAAAAGCAAAAAACATAGCTTCAATGTAAAATAATTCCTTTTGAAGGAAGGACATCCATATTGTAACATTTTGTTGAAATTGTTTTTATTGATATAGGTTTGTTTGCTCTCTTTTTTTGACCAGTGTACTTTATTGACTGAGATTCTATTATTCTTCCAAGTCCCTACATATTAAGAGACAAAGCTGCCCATCTTGCTTCAATCAACATTTTATTTTCCATGTCATCTTTTTTCATTATTAAAAAAGATATCTATACCTAGAGCTGATGTCACTTTTATTTTCTAAAGATGGCTCATTATGTACACATTGTTACAGCTGTAGAATAATCCAAGGAGAACTAGGAAAAAAGAGAAAGAAGTTACAGGAGATTAGTGAAGAGAAAAAGAAAAAAAAAAGGCTTAAGGAAACAGAGAAGCATAGAAAATTGAAAAGAGCTGTTAACTAGTCAAACACTCTGCACTGAGCAATTTAGCTAGGCCTTCCCCCTGACTACCAGCACAAATAAGGCAAAACAAAACAAAATGTGGGAGGACGGCAGATAATTCCTTGCTATACTGAAAATAACAGGTTTAAAGCATTTTTCCCAAGCGTCACTCATGTTGGCCAGTTGCCCAAATGGTTGAACAAGCAATAATTAGAATACAGATTAAGTTATCCCACATCTCATAAATAGACACAAAGTCAAAAGCAAAGATTAGTGTAGCGTAAATAGAATTCCTAATGGCATAAAGTACTTCCAGCATTTCAACATCCCCAAATATTCACCACCACCAAATTTGTTTGAAAGGATTCTTTGTGATATTTGTGTTTACACAGTGAGAAGCCCATCATACTCATTTGCAAATAAAATGTGAAAATTAATGTTTCTATTTCTATAGTATGTATTTGCCAGGAAGTTATTTATTTGAATTTACTATTCCAGTTGATCCTGGAACTTCTCAAATTGCTTTGGCAAAAGTTCAACTTATCAATGTGGCCCCTATAGTTATAAATCTAATTACCAAATTCATTTTTAATTCGTGGGAGCTCACTCTATGGTGAGACGTGCACAACACGGTGAGACATGAACAAACTTTAAAAACTATCTAGAACTAACTAAATTCAGAAGCTATGCAAGAAAAAACAGAACCTAATGTCTGATTTAAAGAAAAAAGAAGCTACAATCTGAACTTATGACGTAGCAGTAATTAAAACAAATACCAACTCTGTTTTCGTTGCATTTAAGAAAAACTTTAAAAACTCAAAGGAAATGATAAAGTATAGTCAATATATTATCAAATCAAGAAATAAATTACCCAAGTAGAGATGCCTTAGAAAATCAGTAATATTTTATGAAAACGTCATGTGACTGCGGGCTTTAGAGAAAGTACAGTTGGAGGAGGAGTTAGAGACTTCACAATGTTCAATTTCAACCTCTACTTTGCTTGTTTGAGTCAAAGCCTTTTGCAGATTCTACCTTAGCTGTCCAAAATGGTCAAAAATGAGAGGTGGAATAACAGCAATCACTTAGCTATCAGGGGAGGAAAATACTCTGGAAAAGAGTGGAATCCGGGGGTTGAACCCATGGACTAGAGCTCTCCTTACTCACACTTACTGGCTAAGCCCTTCTGCTCTCTTGACTTGGGTTATCCACTTAGCTGTGGCTGCCAGCTGGGAAAATGAGATGGGAGCCCAACGTGTGCTTATCCATCCATTTCTTTCTTTCCACATGTGCTCCAGGAACATGTGACACTTTGTTTTTGTACACTTTCTCACAAATTTTACATACACGCCATCTTAACTCACGGACTACAAAGCAAACAACACAAGCATCCATATTCTTAAACTGATGGTGACAGAAACCTCAGTGAAATTCATTTTCTGGGAGCCTAATAAAAGTAACTTCCATTCAAATAGTTCCCACCCAGCTTAGTAAATACATCATGCGACTGAATAATGAGAGTGATTCAACTCAATTTCAAGGGATAAAAGATGATTTGGTATTGCTTTACCTTCTAAAATGCTTTTGGCCAGCAAACTAGGTGCCCTGACTTGCCTCTGGTACACTGCTTTGCGCTCGAAATTATTCTGTTTCCCAGAAAGCCCTTTCTTGTCCTGTAAACACAAGAAAAGTAATCAATAATTCCCTAAAAGACAGTGTCACAAGGAAGGAAGAAGGAAGGGGCCAGCCTAAACGTATTTAGTCTGTCATCCTGTGTGAAAAGTGACTCTAAACAGAGGTATGGAATCCCAAAGGATCAAAAATTAGAGCCCAGCCTGGACAATTTAGCAACTTACAGAGATCCTGCCAAAAAAGAGAGAGAGGGAGAGGGAGAGGGAGAGGGAGAGAGTTGGAGATCTTTCAGTGCAAAGGCCCTGAGTTCAATTCCCATACCAAAGAAAAACAAAAAAACCCCAAACAAATTAACATAACACTGCTTTGTCCTAGGGCAGGAAGCAGAGGCTCTCTCCAAAGCTGACAAATGGTGAGTAGCCCCCAACTCCTCTTCCCAGCAAAAAGTCACCCCAGACTTGCCCATCAGAAGTGAAGAGCCCTAAGGGAGGGAGGTGGACTCCAGAGGAGTGTAAGGGGCCAGGGTTTGGAGAGAGGAGCCATTGGGCTGAATGTGCCCAGAACCTGTGCTTGGGCATAAATACAGACCCAGGTCTCTGTGCAGAAGGAGGCTCCCAGGTCCTCAGGCAAACTGGGGTGTTAGCAAGAAAACAGTACAGGCGACAGCCCGGAATTCAGAATAAAGGTTCCTCTTACCCCAGTGGTCACCAGCTGCCAAGAACCCAAGGCCAGCGATCACCCCGGTGACCAATCCAGAGGATGAACCCCGACCCCGGGCCACCCTGGGGTCCTTCGTTCTCCTAGGATGGGGGCGGAGCCATTGTCCGTTTAAGTCTGTGGCTTTGATGTGCCCCTGACACACTTCCCAGCCCCTCTCCACCAAAACAATAAAAATCCTCCCCAGGTTAGAGGCAGTGGGCTTGGCTGGCGCGCAGGAGGCCAGAGCTTTCATTCCCAGCACCTCAAAAAGAAACAAAAACCCTTGTGTGAACTGAACAGCTTTTCGGCTGGGGGAGCGGCTCCGGGGAGGAGCGATTTCTTAGTGGAATCCTGGTGTTCTCTCCCCAAAACTGCAAAAACTAAAATAAAAAAGTCTCCCTTGCCCTGAGTCTGGGAAGAGGCTGTTCAAAGCCTTACTCTGAGCACCCCACGTGCAGAAACACATAGAAATGTAAAGTGGAGGTTTGGGAGCCTCTATCTAAGGAAATGCCCGCTCTCCTCACAACCAGACCTTCCAAGGATTCTCAGCAGCAGGCACCTAACTCCACAACCACTTTCTGTCTCATCTGTAAAACAGGCAGCAAGATCCCCCTGGATCCAAAGGCCCCGGAAGCAGAAGGGGGAGAGCGCTGCGCCCTTCTTTTTTGTACCCAGCACTACTCTTGCAGCCAGGATACCAGCAACTCTACAGACCACTACCAAAATTAACTTTGATGACTTTCTCGCAACGTCCGGAGCAGGCCTAATTACTTTCACAGCCCTTCTCCTTCTCCCTCCCTCCTTTCAAGTGGAAACTCCGTCAAGTTTCCAGCGCTGCCCTACCCGGGTTTCCCTCCTCCCCCACCCTGCGACCCTGTGGGCAGGGAGGCGCCCACACCCCCTTAGGAAGTGCCAGGACCCTGAGACCGAGGGCCCCAGCCCCACCCCACCCCAGACTCTGTGGCCGTGGGACGCACCTCGGTGGCCTGCTGCCTCCGGAGCGCCACCTGGGCGGCCATGACCCGCTGGCGCTCCACCACCAGCAGGCAGTTGGCACACTGGCAGTCCCGCCAGCGGCAGAAGCGCTTGTGGCCCTTGAGGCAGGACACCACGCCA